TCATCTTTCACCTGGGGCACAGAGAGGTGGTTAATTACAGAGCTGGGAATCAACCAGGTCCTGTAACCCCCATTATCTGGAAATCGCCCAAAGATATAAATCCACATCTGACCAAACATCACCCTAGTAGGGCTTCTGAATTAGTGAAGAATAAGTTTTCCTTGGATAAGAATAATAAGTGTTGTGAAACATCTGACCTGCTGTCTGAGCAAGGACGAAAGGCTCAGCAGTGTGAGATTCTCCTGCCAAGTGATCTCTGTTAAGGAGTAAAGCTGAGCAGCTTGTTGTCACTTGGACTAATGGCAAATTTCCCTAATTGGGAGGCTTTACTATAGAGAGAGCTTCGGGCTGTGTGTTTTTTTTGTGGGTGGAAATCACTGTGTGCTCTTAATTAGGATCATTTTATGCTCCTCTGGTGTAAATGACTGTTCTGGAGGCAAAGTCACCAAAGTTGTTGCAAAGCTGGTTGTGGGGATGAAATTTCTCCTGGCTTGTTGAGGCTATGGGCTTGCTCCTGCTAAATCTGATAGCTTGAGGCTTTCTCAAAGGGGAAAATCGCCCTCTGTTCTGGCTCGTCTCTTCTTAGCCCTTTCATTTTGCCAGCTCTGTTGCTTGTTAAGCCCTCCGTGAGCTGGTGCAGCTCTCAGCAACGGAGCAGAGCCGGAGCTGGCACAAGGCGAGCGACAGGAGTGCGTAGGTGGGTGCGAGGGTGGCCAGGGCAGAGGCCGGCAGCTCACGTCACCTCCCGGCTCTGTCCCCGCGAGGCAGCGGGCGCTGGATCCAGCTCAGCGCTTCGGCGCACACCTCGCCGCAAGCATGTGACCGGCGGCACCGATCCTTGCGTGCGCCAGTCCAAGAACGCGCAGGTGAGCTCCTGGAAAAACACCGCTTTCCTATTGACTCGAGCCTCCCCAAGGGCAGGGGTGGTGCTAGCCCGGCTCGTGACGGCACTGCCTCGTCCCTTCCCTCTGCTGTTGTTGGACTGAGTGCTATGGGAACTGGCTGAGAGCAAACGGAGGCTGTTACGTTTTTCTGCACCCAATGGTCAAGAAGGTTGTTGCAAGCCCAGCTTTTCTGGGCTTTCAGACCCCTCCAATGCCATTTTATTTATTTATTTATTTATTTTCTGAGAGCAATACCTTTAATGCACAGTGTCCCACGCAAACAAACCCGAACTGTAGGCTTTACATTCTGTCTTCTTGAATTCATTTCAGTTGCACCAATTATTTCATATCTGAAGCTATCACATATTTTTAAGAAGCTGCTGTGCCTGGCCACAGGCAGGATTTTAGTGTCTTAGTTCTGTGTTTATAGATAATCCCTCCTAAAAAAGGAGGAACCCCACCTTGCACATTACTAAAGTTCCAAAGAACTTCAGTTTTGACTTTGAGGAGAAAACATTAAGTCAGGTGAGAGAGAGCTGGACATCTTTTCAACTCTGTCCTTGTTCCTTTGCACTGAAACATCAGGAGAGTGAGAGCTCAGATCACCAGGAGCGCCTGTGGGATCACTTGGTCCCACTTGTGTGGACCTAGGAGATCCATCCATATAGATCCTTCAGTCTTAACAGCCTTAACAACAGCTTCCCCTGGACAGCTTCTTGTTCCTCTTCCCCACTGGGGGAAAGTGACATTTTTCCACACCCTGAAGATGTGATGAAGACTAATTCCTTTATAAACATCCAAACATCTGCTGCAGTGGTTTTGAGGGCCATACACATATTCTGCGTGCAAGAAATGGCCTATAGCAGATGGCCGAATGTTCCCATATGTTAACCAAGAGACGGGGACTCATACGGCTGCTCAACACTGCGATTGTAATTTTCAGCTGCAATCACAATTTTCCCCTTTCCCTGATCCTTCCATGCTGACTGCTTGAGAGAGGTAATTTGTGTTATTTTTGTCCCTTTGTGATTTTGCAGCTGTCGCCAATAGTGGAGTTAAACGTCGGCGGGGAGATGTACACGACAACGCTGAGCACCTTAAAGAAACACCCCGGCTCCAAGCTCGCGGAGATGTTCACTGGGCAGCCCAAGCTGAGGACTGACTCCGAAGGGAGGTTCTTCATCGACAGGCCGGGGACCTATTTCAAATACATCCTGGAGTACCTGCGTAGCAACCAAGTGCCCACGCAGTGCATCCAGGACGTGTACAGGGAGGCCGTGTTCTACGACATCGAGCCTCTCGTCAAGCAGCTGGAGGACTCCCCGCAGATCTTCGGGGAGCTGGTGGCCAGGAAGCAATTCCTGGCCCGGGTGCCCAGCTACAGCGAGAACATCGAGCTGATGATCCGCATCGCCCGGGCGGAGGCGGTGGCGTCGCGGCGCTCCAGCGTCATCGTGTGCGTGGTCCGAACGGAGGAGGACGCCGCCAAGTGCCAGGACGCCTTGAACAGCTTGGACATGGATAAGAAATCCGTGGTGAAATTTGGTCCCTGGAAGGCAAGCCCGAGTATTTCTGACCTGCTGGACTGCATTCAAATGGACGTGGAGGCCAAAGGGTACAAAATATCCTTTCAGCCCCATGTTGCCGAAAAAGGGTTTCGCTTCAAGTCCTATGACTTCTTCTACAAGTTCCTGTTCACCTGGTGGTAGCCAAGGGCCACCATTGATGGGGCATGGAGAAAAGCAGTTTTTCTATCAAATTGACTTGGGCTGTGGAGACTAAGCCTTGGGCTGTGGAGACTAAGCCATGGGCTGCTGGAGAGATGGGAAGAGATACCATAGGCTAGGGAAAGGATTTGCTTGGATATGTCTTGCCTAATTAAACAGCGCTAATGAGCCACCATTTTGTTAGTACATTTTAAAATATTTATATGTTTAGACATGTGGTATGACCTTTTCCAAAATGCTTACCCCTTTTGCACATCTTGATCATTTTTTTCTGACTATATTGAGAAATAACAGATCCTGCAGACGCAATCCATTTATCAGGAAAAGGATGAATTTTATTCTATTTTGTATGTTGCGGACTACAAGTTCAGAGAACCAGACTCTGTGATTAATTGGCCACTGCTTCTATATTGCCAGGTATGATCTCTTCTGGTGAAAAAGTCAGCTGCAATTCCCAGTGAAATCACTAAAAGGGCCTTAATTTCTGCCAACTTAAATTTGGTTCTTTAACAAAAAGCCCAAAGCTCTGGCTCTCATTCTTTTTCATACCAGATCCTGGGTTTAAAAGAAAGGATTTTGGTGCCCCACTCTTCCCTCTTGCTCCTCCAGTAGATAGCCCATTCTCTAGCCCATGTATTTATTATTTGTATTTATTATTTATTCTGAAGTAAGGACAGAGAGCCCTGTGCTATGGTGTGGGATCAACACAAGGTGAAAATGCTGTTATGGATCCAAGGGACTTGGGATCTAATGAATGGCACCTACTTCTTTCTCACCTCAGGCAATACTGTTAGTGCTTTCCCTTGTGGCATCTATTATTATTCCTTTTTCTTTATTTTTTATTATTTTTTTTAATAAAAACTTCTATAGGAATAAGGAAAACTCACAGTGATTTGCCTGGAAGGAAGTACTGCCAAAGCCAAGGGCCTTAGTGGTGATTTTGCCTTAAGGGACGCTGGATTGGGTCTTATCTCATAAATGTTTAAAAAACCCTGAATATTCCAAAGTGTTTTTTTAATGTTGTGTTTGTTTGTTTGTTTTCAATCACTCTGGGGATATCAAAAATCATCAGGGCAGGTCTGGATTATGGTTGTGTTTTCTTCTCAAAACACAGATTTCTTCCAGTTTCGGGCAACGACCTGCAGCTTGTTAAATAAATGTATATTGAAAGCTCTCTGAATGTCACACAAACGCTTTATTTACTGATGTCCCCTCCAATAGAAAACCCAAACCTGCAGGGTTTTATGTTTAAGCTGTTGGAGTTGAATCACTCCCAGTTATGTCTGTTTTTTGGCTTGGCTCCTCCCTCCTACCCCGTCCCGGGCAGGTATTTGAGGGTTAAAAAACGCAGCAGCGCAAATATTTTGGGGTTAAAAAACGCAGGAAAAGGCGTTTATGGGCCCTGCAGGCCGCCATACGCCGCCGCCGTTCCCATGGCAACAAGGCACTTCCCCCCCCGCCCTTCCGGCATGCCTTACCATAGAGCGTGACCTCCAGGCGTGGCAGGAGAGGACGCGGCTTTGGTCCATCACGCCGGAACACTCTATGATTTCTCTGTCAGAGCGGGAAGGCGGGTACGGACGGCGGCCGCGGAGGGTCACGCCAAGGCGAGGTGGGCGCCATGGCGGCGCACCTGAAGAAACGCGTGTACGAGGAGTTCACCAAAGTGGTCCAGGTACCGCAACGGGGTTCCGCGAGGGGAGCCCCTAGAGCCCCGGCGGCGGGGGAGGCCGCGAGGCCCGCCCGAGGCTGCTGCGTTCGGCCCGCGGAGTGGGGCCTACACGGGCCAAGAGCCACCACCATTTTGGGTGGGGGCACACAGGGACCGCGCTGCACTTCGCCCGCCGGCCCGTCGAGGCGGAGAGCGTCGAGGGCGTCGTGCGCATCCTGCTCGAGCACTACTACAAGGTAGCGGGCCGAACGCGGGCCTCTCCGGGGTCCCATCCCCCAAAAGGGTGGCAGAATCGATAGACTCGATCTTGAAGCTGTTTTCCAAACGTGACAATTCCATATGGAGCCGCTGCAGCGCTCGCTCGGGTCTGCCCTGTGCTGCCAACAGGTGTAAGTTGAAACCCAGGCAGTTCCGCCTCCATGTGAGGAAGAGCTTCTGTCCTGTGAGGATGCTAGAGCCCTGGAACAGGCTGCCCAGAGAGGCTGGGCGATCTTCTTCTCTGGAGATCTTCCAAACCTGCCTGGATGCCACCCTGTGCTCTGGGTGTCCCTGCTGGAGCAGCAGGTTGGACTGGATGATCTCTAGAGGTCCCTGCCAACCTCAACCATTCTGTCATTCTGTGTTTGGCAGCCCCGTATGAGAGGAGCGACCCTTTCCCCACACGACTGCTGTTTGTGTCACATCCCAATATTTCCAGGTGCCGGTCAACAAGAATGTGAGCCATATTATCCCCACAGGCGGTCTGAAGCTAAGCTCACACAGACAAAAGAGGTCTCAAGAAACTGTCCAGAGCACCAAGCTGTCCAAATCTGTCCCAACTTTATCTAACAGCCAATATCTTTATCCCAGCCAACATTTCCTTGTCTTGCTCTTAATTTCTTCTAACTGCGGAGTAATTTTTTGCTTGTGCTGCGGTCAGAACAGTGTTAGTGTGATGCTTCTGAAAAGCTTTTCAGTTTTTCAACAATTAAAAATTAACAGAAAAATAACAAGGGAAATATTGTATGCATCATAGTATCTAGACACTGGTCTTTCACTTGATGAATCAAAACTTTTATTGTAGCTAAAGCTACATTGCAGGCTCAAGGTGTCATCATAAATGTCTTTGTGCTATTTCTAGCTTCTTTGTTTACGTTTACCCTACTTTGAATTGATGCTTAAACTGTAAGTTGTTTTCCTTTTTTTCTATGCTTTACCTGCTTCTGCTTGCACACTGAGAGTGTTTCTCACTTTATTCTTTTTTATTTTTTATTATCTATTATTATCTATCTATTTTTATTCTTTTTTAAAACTTCTTTTTATTGTTGTCGTAGTGTACACTCAAAAACGTGCAGCTTAAGGCCCTTAACTTGCTGTAGTTCCATGGTTTTTCAAGGATAAAACTGTGGTTCCTGATCAAATAATGCTCCTGAAGTTTCCATGTTGCAACCCATGTCAGAAGGAAGACTCTTAAATTTACAGACCAGATCCGATTTTTAAGTTTTTACTTCACAGCCTGTAACAGAAGTCAGATTTTTAAAATTATGGCAGTCCTATTGGTGCCATTTTTTTTTTTGCTTAAGGTAAACATTTCCTAACGAACTTGTCTGCTAGTACTGCTAGAAAACTAGCGCTTAAACAGCTCCTTCAAAAACCTAGCACCAAAAGCGGTAACTGCCCTGGGAGTTGTATGATGATGAACGTTATTTTGTTTAAGGTGATTTTGCAACCTCCTTCTCATCCATTGTATATCTTTATGTTTTGATAGGTATAAAACT